GAGTGGCACAGCTCACAGCCCACAGCACAGCCCCCTGGACGAGGGTTTACCCAAATGACAGCAGTGCTGCAGGTAAGAAACCCTGCTCTCCGGGGTGCCTGGCATACACTTAACGCTGAAAAACAAAGCCTGCAACACAGTTCAGCGGAGGCAGCGGGTGAGGAGGATTTACGCAGCTCAGAGAGGAGGGCAGAAAGCTGCAGAAACAGACTCTCCCCTGCCTATTAAATAACCTGCACCCAGGAACAGCTGAGCAAAATACAACCCCAATTTTGAGGGGAACAAAGAAAAATGAAAATCATTGCTTGAGAGAAGATGTTTCAAAGGCCTCCAAGACAAACCAACTGAAAAATCCCCAATAAAAAGACTCAGTAAGAAAAATTGTGTCACGGTCCCTAATCCTCAACAGACCTTAACAAGAGGTTCATGAGCCAGAGACTCATGTCTGCAGAAGACAAAAGACATAGGAAATAATATCGTCTAGAGAAGGATTATTGTAAAGCGGCAGCAGAAAGATAAAACAGATCCTGCATCTTACAATTAGGACTCCTAAAAAGAATAACCAGAAATGTGCTAAAAACCATATCACAGTAACTGCAACATCTTTCTGCTCTTGGGAAATTAATATTTAGTTTAGGCCTGGGGCAATATTTTTAAAACCTTTTTTTTTTTTTTTTTGGACGGATGCTTTATACCCCACCTAACTAGATACCCCCGCCACCAAACCACTCCCCAGCACAGATGGCCAAGACATTTGCTTTTTCAAATACTCCATATTTCCACAGCCACCCACCAGACAAAAATTAGATTACCAATGCTTGTGTAAACTTTCCAATCTCTGACACAATAAGATTCCAGAAAATGTACGTGTGCAGCTAAAAGCAGCATTATACATAATGTACTGTAATTCCAACAGACAAGTTGCTATCTTCCGTAGATATACACACTTTCCATGCCAAACACATGAACGTCAATACATTTTTCTCAAGTTAAAATGGAAACCATTTAACAGATATAATGGGCACCATGACTTTCATTTTGCATTACTAATGCAGTAGAGGAGGGAAGCTTTGGCAGGGATTGCAAGGAGACCAATAATGTAAAAAAACAGGAAACAACATAGAGTTATCATTGCTGTCAAGCTATTGTCCCAAAGCCTGGTCAAGGAACCCAAGAGCCCTGAGATTTCATATGGTCAGAAGTCTAATTCCACATTCACATTTCTACCGATGAGCATGTAAAAAATGGACAAAATAGGAATTGCGTGTTTACAAAAAGATCAAAGGGGTGTCGGCATGCATTTCCCCCATTCCTGAGGAGAAGTTATCATAGGCAGCTTGATTTTAGGGGAGATTGCTTAAATGATAAGTAAAGAGAGTTAGGAAGATTGTCCATAAAGCCAAATCCTGAGTCTCTAATTTCACTGCAGGAAAAACATATTTGTCAAGTCTCCTTTCTATAACCCATGTAAAAATGTCAGAAACAATAATACACAGCATTGGCTCTTACCCTTACCTCAAGTCTTTCCAGCATCTAGGATCGTTACTTCAGTCATTACACTCTGAAGAACTTTTTCTTCTGGTGCTATTAGATTTAGGTAATACACTTAAAGCCCTAAACCAATGTTATATTTTGTTTTGAGTTTTGAACACAGGGTTATTGGAATCAAGCAGACCTCAATTCTAAGCTTATCTCTACTACTTACAAACTGAGTGAGCTTGGGCAAATAACCCTATCAGACTTTCAGTTTCTCCACCTGTAAAATGGGTATAATAAAAATAAAGAACCTAACAATTCCTGATATAGAGCCCATTGCATTTTAGCCATAGTCGTTATGTCCGTTATATTTACAAAGCGGGTATAAGCATGTTTAGTACTAGGCTCCGAAGTGTAGAGACAGACTCCAGAAGCCACCTGGAGGAAGAGCGGGAGACTGTCTTTGTTAGGCTCACGGTGATTTCCAGCAGCGATTTGCCCTTGTTTGATTTTATTTTTCCCCTTAGGAAAAAACACATCTGTACCTGGTGAAATGTTAAGAGTGAAAATGTGACAATATTCAGGAAAATCAAACTAGCTCTTCTTTCAAAATCTCACCACGCCCAGCAACCAAAGACTTGTTGGCTGCTGTGCCCTGTGTGGGGCCTCCTCCACTCCAGCGGCAGGCCTCCAGGCGGTCCGGCCTGCGAACGCCGTGACAGCAATTCGGTTACGAGGTGGGAAATGGTGGGACATGGTGGGAAACAGTGGGCGTAGGAAATGAAGAATATCTTGGACTGTGAAAGGTCCAGATGAGTTAGTAAGCTATTAACTTGGATCATTTTTCATATGATGAATCAACTTTTATGAGAAATATTCAATGTTTTCAAACTGCTTATCAAGATCTTAACTCTGTCATCGTCTAGGCCTGTATTATTGAAATTTTAAGGACACCACTTAATATTTTAATTGTTAGCTTACAGTGACGTGCCCTAGAGTCTAAAAGCATCTCAAAAATTTAGCTTGTTTCTGTCTTCTCATGGGGAATAAACGTTTCAGAATGAGGGTCTTCTAGGTGTACCATGTTTAACCAGATGAAAACTAAACCGGATGGGCACGACAGTCAGCAATAGAAAGAGAAACAGATTAAGTGCTTATAATTAAAGCTGGAGGAATGGAAGAATTCACACTTCCTTAGAGCTATTATTTCAGACAGTCTGGTGTCAGAATTAAAAGCCAACCAGTGCATCTGTTTATATTGCCAAGGATTTTCACAGAAGAAGGGCTAGGAAACACATATTTTTTAATTAGGGTCCAAATTCCAAAGAGCACACAAAAAAATAGTACTTAAAAAATTTATGTTCTTGTGATTTGTATTGTCCAATGTCTAAACAAAGACAAAAATCATGTTCCTTACTTCTCCTTCACAAACACAAGTGAAAAGATTTTTTTAAAAAAATGTAATTCTGTTGCTTTGGCCACAGACTCCTTTTTGTTTTCCTCTTGCTTCTGGCTGAGCTACTGCTTCTCTTTCCCAGGATGAAATCACATAGGAAAAGCTGCTTAAGGAAGGCTTCACTCACACAGAAGGCTCACACACTGGCTCTGCTCTCTGGCCTGAAGAGCTGGTTTACAATGGCCACCAAAAATTACCGTTTTACACTCCAAAAGTACACCTCCTATATTTAAAATCTGAGTTAACTCTTTGCTTAAACTTCGAATTAAAGGAAAGCCTTTTTTTAAAAATCCATGCTGATGATATAGAACATTGTAGCACTCAAATCTATTACCAACTCTATTGTACTCTTCACCTGAAAAGTTAGAGGTAGTTTCTGCAATTTCAAAGATTACTTTTTTGTTCGGTTGAAATAACATAACAAAATAAAAATATAGTTTTCCCTACACAAAAGCGAATAGACTTTATTCAGTATTTATTGACCACCTTTTGCCAGCCAGCGGGCTTGCTGTTGGGGAACACGGGGTTGAGTCAGTCATCCTGCACCTTGAAATCTCTCCTAAGGGAAGTCAGGGTTGTAGCAAAGCACCTGGGAGAGGAGAGTGGTGAATGGACTGAGAGGTGATCGGTTCTCATGCCTTTCCTTCGGTGGAGGAGGAAAGTAGGATCTCAGAGGCCTGAGCTCTGAGGTCACAGAGCTCTTACCAGGACTAGAGTTCATGTCTCCAAATTAAAAGCTCATGCCTCTCAATAGCAATATACTTCTCCCCAGAAAATAATTGGTTTTTTTCCCAAAAACAATAATCCCAAGCCATGAAAGTCAAGACAGTTGACTAAGAGTTGAGAACAGAGCAGAGAGGCAATATTCATCTCAATTACACAGCGTGATGGATGGTGGGGAGGGAGGCTTTGGAGCTCAGACCCAACTGAGTTCTCACCTTGGATCTACTAGACCTATCCAGCTCGGTGATGTTGGCAAAAATGGAGCTCTGAAGGTATTCATATTATTAAATACTTTTAATTAAGATAACAATATGTGTATGACAGGTATACATTTCACAAAATAATGTACTTGAGTAGGTACTGAATATGTGTGTGTATATATATATATATATATATATATATATATATATATATATATTCCTGTTTCTTCTTCTCTCTGATAGAAATTGAATAGAACTGAAGAAAGACCAGGTCAGCAGAAACCACATCTCAGCTTTTCTGTTTCTCGCCAGTCATTTTAGCATGAGATCCACCCTGCAATTTTAAGCCATTTTTATAGATCATTTTTGGCACCTTCACAAGATTGAACATTTCCACACTGAACATTTTGGGAGTTAGAAACCAGAGACTAAACAATTACATTTAGAGAATTTCTTTCTTTTTTTTTTCTCAGAGAATTCCATCAGCATACACCCTCTAAGAAAATATGGGGAGTGTACAGAATCAGAAGAAGTATTTAAAATAAAGTAAACCACCTAGATAATTTTGCGAGTCTCATTCCATTATAAATCATAGCTACCATGGGTAAAGGGAAGTGTAGGTCCCCGTATCTAGGATGTCCAGGAGACCAGCTTTAGCAGCAGGGAAGGCCAGGTCCCTAGGCCGTAATTCAGTGCCCGCCGTTACGTTCTCTGCTCAGCGGCTTGGCCCCCAGTTTTGCTTTATTCTCAGGCTTTTTACACACAGCAAGAAAGATGGCTTCTGTCAGTCACAAGCCTGTCTCCCCTTCCCACCTGGCAAAGGAGAGAACACTCATCCCAGCATGCTAGTCTCAGGTCCCAGCCCTGCTGCTGCGCCTGGCTCTCAGGACCATCCTGCAGAGAGGCCTGCCTGGGGAGCCGAGGGCTCAGGCCATGGCTCCATGCATGGAGCAGGGCTGGGTGAGGCCACTCCACCCGCCAAGGGAATAGGCCCTGCACTGGAAAGCGGAGCTCTCCTTCCTGAAGAAAAGGGGGGAGAGAACCCTCCCAAGGCAACGCGCGCGCGCGCACACACACACACACACACACACACACACACACACACACACACAGAGGCATAATTCTGTTTAACTTCCCTGATTTAGGATTTCCCAGTTCAATTCAAAACCCCCTGGGCGGTCTTTGTAATAGCTTCCCGAATTGACTGCTGGGCGCTGCTGGTGCCAGGTGGAAAGGAAGAAGCCCACCCTTGCCCACGGCCACCCTCCAGCCGCCAGAGCACTGGCTCAAGCCCCTAAACATCGGCATACCCAGGGCATGCTGGGGGTGCAGTTTTACCTGAGGTGCTGACCGCCTGTGGCTGCACACATGTTAGATTAAGAAAGGTTAAAAACAGTGCGCTCGTTCGTGCGATATGTGGGCTCAGTGTGGCCATGCAGGCGCCTGCATTCATTCTGTGGGCTCACAGCTCCCCGCCTCCACCCCCGGCACCCCCTGAACATGCATGCAGAGGGAGGAAGGAGTCAGTCGAGCGAGACTGAAAATACAGGGAACAGGGCCGGTGGTGGAGAGACACCTCCTGTGGCTGGTAAAGAGATAGGGATGCAAACTCTGATGCAGAGGCTCATCTTTAAAAGGAGGAGGGTCCTTCTCCTCCAATAGAAACAGAAGAAAATGTACAGGAACAGGAGGGTCCTTCTCCTCCAATAGAAACAGAAGAAAATGTACAGGAACAGGAGGGTCCTTCTCCTCCAATAGAAACAGAAGAAAATGTACAGGAGGGTCCTTCTCCTCCAATAGAAACAGAAGAAAATGTACAGGAGGGTCCTTCTCCTCCAATAGAAACAGAAGAAAATGTACAGGAGGGTCCTTCTCCTCCAATAGATACAGAAGAAAATGTACAGGAGGGTCCTTCTCCTCCAATAGAAACAGAAGAAAATGTACAGGAACAGGAGGGTCCTTCTCCTCCAATAGAAACAGAAGAAAATGTACAGGAACAGAGACATTTTGCAGCAAAATGCAATCAAAGGAAACAATACCAATAAAGTTTTATTTGTACCCTTTTGGACAATGGTTCACATACTTCTCCAGCTACACATTAGAATTGTCAGAGCAATTGTTGCAAATTGTGATGCTCAGGCTGCACTCCATGTCCTGCACTCCATTTTCTTTCCATAAGAAGAAAAAGTTCCGTTTTCTTCAGGCTGAGGCTGTCCCAGGCAAGCTTTAAAGAGTTGGCAAGATCTGACCGACTAGGTGGGAAATGGGAAGGCATTACATGTGAGAACAACTTGGGCAAAATACAAAAAACTAGGAGCCAGTAAAGAAATTAATCTGAATACAACAAAGGAAGCAAGGAAGAAGTGGGGAAGAACACAGACAAGTTAGTCTGGGGGACGATCACAAAGGATGCTGCAAAGTAGACATGTGTGCCTCCCATTACTGTAACCATTAGCTGCACAAAGTCGGGATCTTACCAGTGTTGTCCACTTTTGTAATTCCAATCCCATGAAAGTCCATGGCAAAGACATTGTAAAGTCAGTAGATGTTCAATAAACGTCTGTTGAATAAATAACTTAATAAATGAACAAATGCATGAGCTGTATGTCTGAGATCCTTGAGAAAAGTGGGACTGTCTCATACCTGATCCCAAGTCACTCACTGCAAATACCTTTCCACATTTTACTCAGATCTACCTGGGGCCTCAGCTGGCTTCACTGGATATGACCTCAGTCCCTGTCTACTTAGTACCAGCAATGATAGACTGTGCATGTAATACATTTTTACTAAAATTTGACAAAAGTCAGACAACAAAACGGAGAAGGGCTTTACCATCCAAGTACTAGGTAGCAAGTGATCAGTTAAATATTAGAGGCCCTGGCTGCATAGTTCAGTTGGTCAGAGTGTTGTCCAGATACGGCAAGGTTGCAGGTCCAATCCTGTCAGGGCACATACAAGAATCAACCAATGAATGCATAAGTACGGAGAACAACAAGTCTCCCTGCCCCCCCCCCCCCCCGCTTCTCTCTTTCTGAAAATCAATCAATAATCTTTTAAATTAAATATTAGATAGCCATATTGTTAACTGTGTTACTTAGCCATTCTCATTGGTCATTATTCCATGGCAATACCTTGCTTCCTGCCAATTGCTATACTTCTATTTCCCTCCAGCCTCACCAGTACGACCCAAACCACAAGTTTCAGCTTTTCCTTACGTAGAGCATTTAACTCTGACTCTCCTATGCCAGGGCTCAGGAAAACTCAAGCTTTCTCAGGAAAGAGTCCCTTCCTGTTCATAGCTACAAACATTTGTAGCCGATTATTATTGTAAATGTCAATTTTTTTCTCTGTCTCCACACAAAAGAATGAATCACTCAGGGAGACAAGTGGAAAACCTCTGACCTAATAGTCACAAGTGAGGCCCCCACTGGGGAATAAATATTCATTATTAGAAATCCACAAAACAATAGGTATTCCCATGACTGTTGTATGTGATCTATGCCCTCTACACCCCCTAGGAACTCACATAATCCACATTGTTGTCTTAGCCTGTCATCCCCGAGGCCAGTCCCATGCTGGTGTGACTACAGGGGACACTCGCCGATCATGAGGATGAAGGTGATGAGGAGATGCTTGCTGAGATTTTATATCTTATAATAATAGGGGAGATAATAGCTACTTTGTGTGTCCAGAGCTGTTTAAAAGCATTAACATTTCACACAGTGCACATTCTCAGAAAGCAGATCAATGTTTACTCTTCCCTGTGTGGCGACTCCATGCAGTTGGGCACCTCTGGGTGAAAGCCTGGGACCCTGGAAGCGCAGCCCCAGTTCATTATGTCAGAATAGGGCGGTGTGGGCTGGAGGGTCAAGGGGCCCGTCTGTAATACTTTCACAATGAAGATAAATCTTAAAAACTAAATAAACAAAGACCCTGGCCATTGGCAGTGTTATTAGTGGTCAGGGGGCCGGGGAGGAGTGGGCAGCGAGGCGCTGGGATCACAGCGCTGAGTGGCTGTCAGGCAGCAGGACTATTACTGGTGCAGCATCCGTTTTGGAAGGAAGGAGACACACACACTCATGCACGCACATCGCACCAGGCCTGTGTGGTTCTTCCAGAGGAGGAGAATTTATTTTATTCTGTGACTTCTGGTCCAAATCGGCAAGTGGGCAAGTGAGAGTAGTGGGATCGTGGGATCATCTCTCTCTCTCTCTCTCTCTCTCTCTCTCTCTCTCTCTCTCTCTCTCTCTCCCTCTTTCCCTCTCTCTCTGGTCAGTGTGTGTTTCACTGATTAAGCACAAATCAACTTAATTCACGACCAACCAGAAAAGGATTCTGCAAGATTTAGCTCAGCAGCATCCAAAGGGCCACAGTCTGTCCTCAGAGCCCACTGAGAGGGGACCCCCAGCGCCGCATTCGGAGTCTGGACCCGTTTGTGTGGCCTGAGGAGTGGGGGTGATGCGCTTTGAAAGGGAGGCTTCTAGAGTTTTCCCTGGGGAAGGCAAGGCGCTGGGAGCGCTGGGCAGAGCTGAGCTCACACAAAGCGGAAGAATGTGAGGTTGCCTTGACAGCTGGATCCCAGGCAGAGGCTGGGCTGCCTGTCTAGCAGGCCCGCTGGGTGCAGATGAAGGAGGGGCAGGAGCCCTCGCCCCCTTAAAGGAGCAGTGCTGCCCTGTGCAGCTCGCTGTGGGCACTGCTGTTTCCTTCCATGAAACCTCTCTCACTGGCCAATTGGAGCTGGTCAGGCAATGACATTTTCATGCATGACACACTTACTTAACAGCCCCCATGTGTTTTCATACATTTACAGTTGATAACAATGAGGCTGTTTTGTCAGAAATGGTTAAAAAAAAAAAAAGAAGGTACTAGTTGCAAATGCAAAGCAATGGGAAGATACGCAACCCAGATACTGTGCCCCATGGCTGATGCTCCTCCGAGGGGTCACCCAGCTCCCAGGAGCAGGGAAAGGCAGGGAAGTGTGATCAGGTTGAAGACTTCTGATGAGAACTGGTGTTCAGAGCCCCTCCTCCCACCTGGAAGGAGGATGATAGCACAGCAAGGTGAGGTGGGCACGAAGCACCTCATATTTAAGTAGACATTTGGCCCTTGGGTTCATCATTCTCTTCAAATTTTAAGTAGGTGGAAAGAACGGGAGGCATGGTTTCAGAGATAAACCAGCACTTACAAGAGGAAGCCAACTGAAAACTAGGATCCTTGACTCATCAAGTACAGCACGCCGTTACCACAGGTCAGCCGCTATCAGCCAACTTCAAGAGAGGTTTCTGTTGCTATTTCAAATGTCCATTTGGCTAGAGTTTTTTTTTAAAGTGTGTTTATACATGAGGCATCTGTTATTGACCTAATGGTAACAATGTGTTGATAGAGGTTTTGAGAAGCAACTACTAGTTCTAATGGTCAAAAATAAGGGTTTAATATCAGCCCAACAAATACATGTTGTTATGAAAGCACATCCTGGTGACAAACATGTCTGTTGTTCTATACTGAAGGGAAATTGGTGTGTGGTCTTTTGGTTTTTTTTTTTTGTTTTTGTTTTTTTTTTTGTTTTTGTTTTTTTTTTTTAGATTGAGATAGAGGGAGGAAGAGAGAGGGAGAGAGAGAAACATTGATTTGTTGGCTAGAATGATGTCCTAACCAATTGAGCTATCCAGCCGGGAGGGATGCAGCTTGGTTTCATCCTGTACCTCTGTCACCCCAGGGGGCACCTCAGAAGTTTCTACTGCATTCTTTGCTGAAAGCTATTGGTTAAGTAAAGAACAATATGAGGAGACTTGTGTGGCAGATTTTAGGTGAAAAACCCAGAAGTGAGGCACATCACATTTCTGTCCAAATCTCTTTGGCCAGAGCCATTTGAGTGACCCCACCTTGACACAAGGAGAAGGGAAATGCAGGTGCCTGTGGTCCAGAGAGAAGTCCTACTGGTTCGGTTGCATCCAGCCAGCCTCTGTCACCAACATGCATCTTGTGAGCTAAAGATGGTGCAGATGTTCCTCAGGCGCATTTGAAGGAGCAGATACACCAGTATGTGCCAACACAGAGCATCCTGAATGCCCAACGTTCCTGTCAGGCGCATGGAATTCCTTTACCCACTCGCCTCCCTTGGCTGTCCAGGTTTCCTTCTGTGCCCTGGCTACTGCTCCCCGCCCTCCCCCAGTTCCTCTTCTCCCGGGGACACCAGGTGCTGTGCTTGACAACAATTTTTCACAGAAAGTTTTAACTTTTCACAGAAGAAAATGTGCATCTTCCTGCTCTTCCTCTAGATTAGCTCTTGATGGCTCTTCGCTGAGAAGACCTTGGAGCCTTAGCGGGTGCTCACTGCTGTTCCCACAGCTCCCGCCGTAGCGCCTGCTGTATGGGCCCTCAGTGTCTCCTCACTGAGCTACTGGACTAGAAGCTGCTAGAAAACTGGCTTTTATCCGAGTTTCTCCTTACCTAGTACAGTGTCTGGCACAGAGTAGACCCTCACTATCAGTCACTGAATGAGTCCCAGGATTTCAAGGCAAAATCTAAGTGTACATTTTAATCAGTAAAGAAAACCAAAATACAAATGAAACATGAATGCCATCTATCAAAGAATAGATGGTTCATTAAAAAATTAATGGGAGGATTATGTATTTTCCATTAGAAAAGTGCAAAACTTTTAAATTTTCAACCTTTAGCACCATCTTTGCAACAAATAAACAACCTGGGCTGTTTCCTTTCAAAGGTGTGCTCGCTGCCTAGGAGAGGAGGGAAAGGCCAGGGCCGCAGGGCAAGCATGCGGTCCCTTTCCGCAAGCTGTGCAGCCCTGACCGACCGGAGGCCCGCTCTGAGCCGGGGGGTCAGGCAGGTTGCCCTGGGGTCTGGCCTCAGGGAGCAGGCAGTGGCTTCTGAGAGGCAGGAACGAAAACTTAGGCAGAAGATGGATTACTTTTCAAATTCAATTCTGATTAGAGAAGATACATTTTTGTCAACTTTTTCATTCACAGCAAAACAAAAATAATATAGTGTGTTATATTTTATTCAGTATTTTTACATTATTGTGATATTTTAGATATTATTGTACATATTGACTTCTAAAAAAGATCTTTCTTCATATTAGAATTTCTAAGACTTAGAAATGGTAAAGACTGTTAGCACCTTATCCAGTTCAAAATATTGAGATATTTAGCACACATTACTGTAATAATAGTGGTGGCTAATTCAAACTGGTATCATTAAAGTGTCTTCTTTGTATGTAATTCATATTGCTTACTATATTACTGTTTTAATGCTGCAATATCATCAATATTACTTACTATATTATATGCACTAGGAATGTTACTATTCACCTATTTTATCAGGTTCACAATAGTAGTTAAAAGCCCATCTTCCATTTTAGAAGTCCCAGCTCTGCCACTCACCATCTGTCATTATAATTCATAACTTATATTACTTTTCTGTGCCTCAGTCTCCTCATATTTTTAGTAAATGTGGATCATAATGTGTGTAGCCCATATGGTAATGTGTGGGTTTATAGACACTTATGCATTAAAGGTTTTATAGAACATTGTTTGCATGTGTATGTTCAACTTCACTTTCTTACTTCTGCTCCCTCCCATTCATCCTACTTCAGTCTGTCTCCTGGCCTTACCGTCTATTGAAAGTTTTCTAGCAAATGTTTCCAAATTGCCAAACTAAGTGGTTGTTTCCCATCCTGAAGTATCCTGGCCTTCTTTGCAGCATTTAATCCATTGAATCATACCCTCCCTTTATTTTAATGTTCTCATTTCTTGGACAAGGAGAAGAGGTGCAGACAGATTCAGAGAAACTGATAACATAGCCACCCAAGGTTTACACAAGCAGACAGAGGCAACAGTGTAAGGAGAAGGCTATAACTGCTTTACAGGTTAATGTGAAGGAGAGCAGACATAGGGTAAGGATTACTAGTATCCTGTCTATTTTCCCTGTAATTCTTCCTCCATGTTGGAATTTCTAACACGAAAACACGATCTTGCTTTATTCCTGCTTTAACCCTTTATTTCAGGGTCTCAAACAGGAGTTCAGGGAACTTAGATAGAGTTTGTGTGTCTGGGGTGGGGCATGTGTATCATATGTGTGATACGGTTCATTTTCCCAAGGAGAGAAGCCCTATATTTCCTTGGGGTCCTTTCCCCTAAAATCGAGAGCCAGTGGTCCAGAGGCTCCAGTTTAAAATCCATGGTAAAGACACAAAACTCCCCTCACCGTCCGCCCCCGGGGTCCCTATGCCCTCCTCTCCCATCCACCAAGCTCTTACTATGCTCTGCTACGTGCTGTTTTCCCACCTCCATGTTTTACAAGCTGTTTTCTTCATCCTGGAATATTCTTGCTTTTAACTTCTACCTGGCATTTGAATACTAATTATTTGAGATCCTGTGAAAATGTTATCTCTCCTTAGACATCTTTCTCACTACATCAAACTTAGTTGGAAATTCCTAAATGTTGCACCCACAGAACTGTGTGTAGCACCTCTATTATCCGTTTATCATGTGCTATTCAAGTTGTGTGAGTGCCTGTCACCCTACCGAAGAGTAAATCCTGAAGGCAGGGGCCAGGTCTGATTCATTACTGTGTGCCTACCAGTAGTTAGCATACTGCTGGGCATATATTCAGAGCTCATAACTGTTTCCTGACTGAGTGAGCAAATTACTGATTATTGTCTTGCTTCAAATTCATCCATTTTTGGGGGGGAGGTATTGTATGGTGTTTTCTGAGGAATCTTTTTGTAAAACATAAATGTTGATGAATCCACATGACTACTATATACTCTTTCATACAGAGATGAATTCAGAAATAATGTGCTGTTTCATACCTTTTCTAAATTGTTTTAAGTCATGTAGGCATCAAATCAAAATACAATTTGATAGTTGGCGATAGAACAAAGATTGATTCCATGATTTTAAGTCCTAGGAGGCCAG